CTCTCTCTCTCTCTCTCTCTCTCTCTCTCTCTTGAAGTTCCCACGATGCGGGCAGTCCATCGCCTCGCACCTATCAACAATCCAAAGTTGTCATCCCGCTTAGTCCGAGTATGCAAGCCAGGTTTACCCGTGTGCCACAGTCCTTCGCGGCCACATGTCAACCCCCAGCACCAGCTCGTCGGATCGCCCAGCTCCCTACTCACCATTCTGTCTCCACTCGTTAGGCAATCCTCTCGACCGCGCTAACTCCCAAGTGTAGATCAGAGAACGAATTAGTCGCGCTTGTGAGCTTTATAGCATTCGGTAGTTGCGTGATATACTTCCGGATTGTGTTGAAGCAAGAGGTAGAGAGGAAGAGGGAGTGCCTACGGGTGCATGACGGGGCCGCGGCGTGGGGGACGTAGCTGCTCTCCATGCATCGATCCAGTCATGCATATGTGGGCCAATGAGGTAGCTGGGAAAGAGACGTCGAGTTTCGCGCGAAAAAGAAGAGATCAAGAAGGGAGAGGATTACAGTTACACCTGCGCTTGCCAAGAAGGAGCAAGGAGAGATTGCAGTTGCGATTAGAATTGAGGCGCGGCGGGGGCAGAGCACACGACAGGACGCAGCAATGCGCGCGCAAGTAGGGAGCCTCGTGCAGTTACAGCCCAAAATTGTGACGCTCCCAAATTCTTAGCCTAATTAAAATCCTAATTGCAAGAAGAAATTCAGAGAACCGGTGTGGGTTCAAAATTCAAAAAGAAATTCAAAAAGATTCCCCGTGCGGTGATCACGCCAAAAATTCCCCTCCCCTCAACAGAACAAGAAAGAAGCTATGGCAACAGTTATTTCCGTGGTCGCTAAGGCGCGATCAATTACCAACCGTAGCGGGACCAACCTCTTTCAAAAAGGCGGGGGCATTCATGCAATTGGCGGACCCCTCCCAATCAACCCCCGAAAAACAGTTGCGCAGAAAGTCGCGTGTCTACGGAAAGTAGTTCGTCACAACTGCCTCTCTTCCTTCGACTGGTACGCTCTAATCAACGTTTTGTTTCAAGCAGAATCTATTACACGACTTTCTGAAGAAATGATAAATTTAGAGCGCTTGATAGACCGCATCTCTTTCTGCCAGTTTCTGCGACGGGTACGCTCTAATCAATGTTTTCTTTCCAACAGAATCTATCACACCACTTTCTGAAGAAATGATAAATTTAGAGCGAAAAAAGGCTTTCGCCGTGGGAAGATTTGCCAGGGGGATTTTCAACAGCCGAGTCTGCTGTCCTTGCCGTTTGATATCAAATTCCTTAGTCTGAAACTGACCCCTGACACGCTGCACCCAGGAAGAAGACGAGGATGGGGTCTGCTAACTAGCTTGTAACACCGACTATCTGGGTCTGATGACTGGCTTATAATACCGACTGTCCCCCCGCCCCCGAAACAACTTCATCCTCTTGAATCCTGCTGCCACTATTGACTGCCTTGCCTTCGCCATCCAATGTACATCCCTCCTTTTCCCTCCCTTCCTCCCCCCCCCCCATCCTCGCCCCCCACGACCCCCTCCAGCTCCCCATGGTCCCCGCCCTCCTCTCCCTCCTCTGCCTCCCCCCTGCCTATTCCATCCCTCTCTCCTCCCCTCTTATTTCTTTCCCCCCATCCCCTTCCGCCTTTTCATTCCCTATTCCTTCCCCTCCCTGACCCATATCTTCTCTCCTTGCACACTCGCCCTGCCTAAGCAGCGCACCTCCCCCTCCTCGAATATTTAGTGACAGCAGATGACCCTGCCCTCCCGTCAAATGGGACTTCTGTGCGTGTATCACCAGAGCTCCCCCTGACCCTGATGAGTCAGCTGTACTATCTAGCATATCTGGTGCAGAGGCAAAGGCAGCACAGTTTCCTTCGCCCATCCTCCCTTCCGCCAGTCCTTCAGCTAGACCCACTCCTGTCTGAACAGGGGGTTGAAAACCATCGCCCCTCCCTGACCATCATTGTTCAAATTAGCTACTGATTTGTCATGGAGGACGGCAGGAGAGGTCACAGGAAGTGCACCCTTACTTGCAGAAGAAACACTCTGTTTTTTTTTTTCTTCTATTTTTAGCATCACGTCTTCCATTACAGAAGGTCTTGACAGTGGATGCCCTGGAAGTATTCTGTCGTGCCTCCAAGATTGCTTTCACGGGCGTGTGTGTAATTGACGGAGTGCAAGGTGGCACATTGCCCCTCTTTGTTCATTATTTTAAAATAATGGGTGGGGTTCAATACAAATACTACTTCGTTGTTTCTTTGGAGAATTGAAATTTTACTTTCTGAAGTCCCCCTTCGGTGCAAGTCGCAGAACAAAAATGGTCGATCGCCGTCACAAGGAGCGACAGTGATGGCTCCTCGTGGAGAGGGGAGGCCGCAGGGTGCAGGGGGACGGGGGATGAGTGGTTTCCTAAGCTTCCTCCATCACCATTGGCTGCCGGGGTGAGATGAGGGATCTGCCCTAGATCACGAGGATGGTGTGCCAGGGGCGGGGTAGGTGCAGGTGAACAGCCTCCCTCCCACTGACTTACACAGCAGAGGAAGAGGCCTTGTGTTTTCCGTGATAGAGGTAACTAGATATAAGCATAAGTTTTCAGTTTGGATGGACAGAACTGAAACATGAAGGGTGGGATGTTAATCCTTCTCCTTTGCAGACATTACCAATCCCTCCCCCAGGTGATGAAGTAGGAACAACAACAGAATCTGTCTCATCGGAAAAACCATCAGACACAAAAAAAACCCTTGAAAATCCCTGCCTTGCTCGACGAACTCAAGAAGGTGGGAGGGTTGGACTTCGAGAGCACTAGCCTTTGTTCATTCCACATCAACTCAAGGTGGAACTCTGGAAAAAACAAGCCCGTTTGGACAGCGTGGCCAAGGACCCTACGCAAGTTGCAGGCGGGGGCAGGTATTTGAAAAAGTCCAGAGTGGTTGTCAATGGTGATGTCTGACAGCTCTCAAGAGGGCTTTTTTCAAGAGCAAGTGGAGCGACGGCAGACCCTTGGTGGTGTATTTGACCAGTGTAGTACGAACCTTAGGCACTAGTACCTCAGAAAAGACAAACAAAAAGAACAAGCTGGACCGGGTTTCCAGCGTGTGCAGCTCCCCACCACTAGACTGGACCCATCACGGTGGGGGCGCTCACTCTCTTATTTTTTCCCAGTAGAACTAAGCTACATTCTTCTCTCTTTTTTTGTTCCCCTCAGTAATCTACATTCTTCTCTCAATTTCACCCTACACGACCTACCCACCACTACTCCTAGAAGCCTAGACAGGGGACCCAAGCATGACTACATCTCACAATCAAGGGGATGCATGTTGCCGCCCGCCCTAATAGGCTGTGGTAAGGGAGACGAGTGGGGCCGGCTGACACAAAGACACAGGATTTGGCCAGTAGCTGCACCCCCCATATCCTTTCCCCGCCCCTATCCAGTAACAGCAGTGTCTACGGCTAGCACCGTCCCACACACCACGCAAAACTCACACGCACAACCGGAGCGAACATGACAACACACACCTACTGTCACCTACTGTCCAAAGACCCTACAAGCCAACTATCTGAGTTGGTTGGCACCAAGCCTCCGTGGGGATCGAACCCACGACGGCCTGAATGCCACTTGCATGCCTAACCAACTGAGCTAGACTGCTTTCCCCCTTCGCTAAATTTCGGCGATTTCGCACCACCTCCCAGGGTCGGCGCATCGCAGATGTTCAAAGAGAAAGGAGATCGGTGGAGGCAGACGTCGCACAGGACCTGTTCCGACCACTTCCCTGTAGCCTTCGACTTCCCTTCTGTGAGATGCCGACATTGCGGTAGAACCTGGCACTGAAGAACCTTCTAGACTCTCCTACGATCACGCCCAACGAGGACTGTTTTCTAGCAGCCTTCCAAACCTCAAACCCTGAGGTCCACAAATCTCAATATACAATCTCTCTCTCTCTCTCTCTCTCTCTCTCTCTCTCTCTCTCTCTCTCTCTCTCTCTC